GAAGGCAAGGAGATCTTTTTATCTGTCATCGGCTGTATTCCTGATGCCTAGAAGAGTGTGAGTATGAGAAATACTCAAATAGAGAGGGAGAGGCAAAGGGAGAGGGAGAAGCAGACTCCCCGCTGAGCAGGGAGCCTGATGTGGGACTCGATTCCAGGACCCTGGGACCATGACCTGTGCCGAAGGCAGACACTTAACCAACTGAGCCACCCAGGTGCCCCTGTTTGTATTAATTGATATCTTAACATCAGGTTTTGCTGCAAGACAGTTTTGTGAAAGAGATACTTAAAAGACCAAATCCTGGAGATATAGCATGGAGCAGGACCAGGATTAGGGAGCCCTCAGAGTTCTCTCTTTCTACAAAAGCACAGAGTCATCACCTGAATGTCCCACAGTGAACACTCACCTCACCTCTTTAGGCCTCATCTGCAAAATGAGAAATGTCCTCCAGCTACAAAGCATCACAAAGTAAATGGTTTTGTTGTTGTTGTTAATTTTAGGTAATTAACATACAGTGCAATATTGGTTTCTGGAGTAGAATTCAGTGATTCAGGGCACCTGGGTGGCTCAGTTGGTGAAGCATCTGCCTTTGGCTCAGGTCATGATCCCAGGGTCCTGGGAATTAGCTCTGCATCGAGCCCTGCATCAGGTTCCCTGCTCAGTGGGGAGTCTGCTTCTCCCTCTGCCTCTCCGTCCCCTCCTCCCTTGTGCTCTCTCTCTCATTCACTTTGTTTCTCTCAAATAAATAAATGGACTCTTTAAAAAAGAAAAAAAAAGAATTCGGTGATTATCACTTAGATACAACACCCAGTGCTCATCCCAACAAGTGCCCTCGTTAATCCCCATCCTGCATCTCCCCTCCCTCCATCAATCCTCAGCTTGTTCTCTATAATTAAGAGTCTCTTATGGCTTGTTTCCCTGTCTCTTTTTTTCTTTTCCCTCTTCCCATATGTTCATCTGTTTTCTTTCTTAAATTCCACATAGGAGTGAAATTATATGGTATTTGTTTTTTTCTGACTGACTTCATTTAACATAATACACTCTAGCTAAATCCATGTTGTTGCAAATGGCAAGATCTCATTCTTTTTGATGGCTGAGTAATATTCCATTGCATATACATATACCACATCTTAAAAAGCACATGTTTTGCTTTGAGTTTTCTTCACAAATACCCTGTTCCTTATGTGGGAGATGTAGCTATAACTACATTCCTATGATCTTATTTTACTTTCAAATCCTTGGGTAAGAAGTATTTATTTAAGGGCCACTGACTGGCTCCGTTGGTTAAGTGTCTGCCTTCGGCTCAGGTCATGATCCCAGGGTCCTGGGATTGAATTCCACATCAGGCTCTCTGCTCAGCAGGGAGTCTGCTTCTCCCTCTTTCTCTCAAATAAATAAAATCTTTAAAAAAAGAAGAAGCATTTCTTTAAAAAACAAATGTAAACATTTTTTTAAGATTTTATTTTTAAGTAATCTCCACACCCAACCTGGGGCTCGAACTCACAACCCCTGAGATCAAGAGTCACGTGCTATACCAGCCAGGTGCCCCTAAAAAACAAATTTTAATCTTAATCTTTGTGCTTCTCCCTCCCCCAGAAAATTAAATTAAAAATAAATTCTATTAAATTACAGGAAATAGTTATAGTATGATGTCCAAAGTGCTTGGAGCTAGATATTTGGGTTCTACCACTTAAATTAGGAAAATCATCGAATCTCTTAGTGCCTGTTTCCACATAAGGATAATACCTGCCTCATGGGATGGACAGGAGAATGAAATAATGCATTTAGCACAGGGCCTGGCCATAGTCAATGCTCAGCAAAAGTTTTCTTTTTTCTTTCTTTTTTTTTTTTTAGAGTTATTTACCCATTTTAGAGAGAGAGAGCATGAGAGGGAGGGGCAGAGGGAGAGGGAAAGAGAATCTCAAGCAGGCTCCACACTGAGCTTGGAGCCCAACATGGGGCTCGATCTCACAACCCTGAGATCATGACCTGAGCTGAAATCAAGAGCTGCCCACTTAACTGACTGAGCCATCCATGCACCCCTAAAAATAAAATATTTAAAAAAATTATGATAAGATCGCTTCTCGGGCACCTGGGTGGCTCAGTTGGTTAAGCAACTGCCTTCAGCTCAGGTCATGATCCCGGAGTCCCGGGATCGAGTCCCACATTGGGCTCCCTGCTCAGCGGGGAGTCTGCTTCTCCCTCTGATCCTCCCCCTCTCATGCTCTCTGTCTCCCATTCTCTCTCTCAGATAAATAAATAAAATCTTTAAAAAAAAAAAAAGATCGCTTCTCAGCTTTTTGGCTAAGATCAAGTGTAAAAATATTATTATTAAAAAAAAGAATCTAATCAAACCATAAGAGACTCTTAATCATAGGAAACAAACTGAGGGTTGCTGGAGGGGAGGTGGGTGGGGGGGGGATGGGATAACTGAGTGATAGACATTAAGGAGGGCACATGATCTAATGAGCACTGGGTATTATATAATACTGATGAATCACTGACCTCTACCTTTGAAACTAATAATACATTATATGTTAATTAATTGAATTTAGATAATAAAAAGAGTCTATTTGACTTTAATGAAAACCCAGTGATCATCTAGGTAGAAGAATCTGCTTCATGAAATAGGCAAATCCTTCACATTTTATGTTTAAAGTTTTCAGATATTGATTTCACTAATATATAATCTAATATTAGAGCCCCCACACAAGGGCCTATGCCCTGTTTTATGCTCCATCTTTGACTCACAGTAAGATCTTGGGCAAGTCACTGACATTCCCATATTTCAGTGTGTCAAACTAGCCAAAACACTAAAGCATGACCTCACTACAAACCCAGTAGACTTGAAAGGTGAGATGTGCTTTGATAAATTAAAGAATTACCAAAAAAGAACTTAAGCTAGTAAAACCATATAAAGAATTGGAATAATGAATTTTACTATAATGAGTAAAATGATTCTAAAATGTACAGTTTTTAGCAAGTAAAGTCATGAAAAAGTTTCAAAGGTTTTTATTTGGGTGAAATTGGTTAAATGACAGGGGGAGAAATACTATTTTCAAAATCATGGATTATAGCAATTTAACCAAAATAATTATAAGGAATGGAAGACAGAAGCTAATGAATCCTTAATAATTAAACACATTTCATTTCCAGGCCATTATTTCCTCCTACTTATACAATGTGTACGGTATTTTAAAATGTATTTCACTAGGTACTATATGAAAAACCTGACAAAGAATACAAATTCCTTTAGAAATGAAGCAGTTTTAAGACGTATTTGGCCATTTAGACTTGTAACTCACCAAATTATTGAATATTCTTTAAATTGATTTCTAATTAGTCCCTTTCCCTCTATTTCCCGTTTCCAACTCTCCCACTCAGGTTTCCCGCCATGAGCAAGCACAAGATGAAGAAGAAGAGGAAGAGGAGGAGGAAGATGATGATGATGACTGGGGATTTGTGAAATAAATGATGTCTTTTTCATCTGCAGAGAGAAGGCAACACCATTCCCTGGCTTGCTGCTGCAGCCTCTCTTTAAACTGAATAGCAGGTTCACCCTTTCTGCTGCATTTCAGAAGGAACAGCAGTAAGAACAGTTCCACAGAGGTTATCCCAGAAGTCTTGTGGCATCTGCAATGTGCCTGAACATTTTTTCCTTTTTAAAAAACATCTTTCTGTAAATTTTGTCAAAGCCAGAAACAAATGTAACCAAGGGAAGCCCTTTCTAGTAGAGTTTGTCAACTACATACTTTGCACATTCCCTGAAAGAGTAAACAAACGATAAATTGCAACTGTTGCCCAGGCCCTGTAAACAAAAGATCAAATTCTGTGTGCTGCCTTGGCAAGAAAACTAACTGCAGCATTTTGTCAAGATTTTTACAAGTTCTGATTTCAAATTAATAACTGAAATTGCCCTTTTCCTTGTTTACAGAAAAGCTGAAAACATTAGTAAATTTAAAGATAAAATATTTTAAAGAAAGGAACAGAATCAAGATTGTACATTAAAATACAATCTAGCTCCATTGTAGAGACAACTTGCTGTTTGTTTCAGCTCTAATCTAGGAAATTCTAAGTGCCTATCTTTTTTCTTCTTTGTTTTTCTGAATAAAGACCTGATCCCTCTCAGGACCGGGAAAATTAAGAAAAAACTAAAATCAAAGCATGGGTTTTAAGGTCTATGGAAGAGTCACACAGGTACATTAATTTCAGTTAAGACCAGAGCCAGGATGAATAGTATTTTCCGTAGGAAACAAAACAGTTAAGGGAGAAATATTATTCAGGCATACAAAAAATATTCAGTGGAAAGGTGAAAACATTAAAAGAAGACTGGCTAAGCATATGAGCACGACACAGATTTAGCAACTCAGCATATATAATGTTTCAGAAATTGCTTCAAATTTTTAAGAGAAAAAAACATCTGACCAATGTCTTGCGCGAGGAAAACTGCCATGCCCCTTCCAGACCCTCTCCAAGGCAGGGGAAGGTGTGCAGTCAATTCCTCTGTCCCCAGCTCCCCGCGGCCGCCCCCTGCCCCAGGACCTCCTGAAACACCCCGAACGGAAGGCGGCCAGCTGGGGACCCCGGGGCGCGGGGCCTGGAGGACCCGGCTGCCCCAAGAGATGGTGTACAAGATGGGAGGTGCGGGGGGTGTCCCACAGGTGCAAGTGGGGCTGGGGTGAGAGGCGGACAGCTTCTCACGTCCAGGGCCGCCCCAGGTCGGGGCTGTGGAGGCACTCTGCCCTAGTCCAGCCCCAGATGGGACCGGGGATTCCTCGCCCCACCTGCTCTGCCTCTGCCCCAGCCCCACGACCTCGCGCCTCTCTCCAAACCGTTCGCTTCC